CCTGAAACTTAATTATGCTCACAGTGATCGACAGAAATGAGTAATGATGAGTACTCAGTAAAGTGGTTAAATGCAATATATTGTTTCCTGTGTGGTCTTTGATACTTGACACAAATGAAACTTTATACACATTGTGTTAAGGGGGATCGAAATTAACATAGCAGCTGCTGAATTGAAGGACTACACCTGATTTTCATGTAGCTTCTTACAACACAAAAATGTAAGCATGCTATGAGCATCCTTCCTTATGAAAACATACAGCAAAGAGTCAGCGAGTGGATTCAAATACATCATGATTCCTGACACTGAATGTAAAGAATCATAATAACTACTTATTCCATGCTTAAATGATACTGCAAAAATGATGTTTTGTACAATGCTTGGTAGGAACAACACAGTGTAATTGAAAAGTACAAGAGCCAGAATCATCAAAATCCTCTTTCTTTCATCAGGGGTGACTGCGACCGAATGAGACAGTGCCTTCCACGAACCCACAAAGCAAAACACAACCAGTGGATAAGGTACAAAAAACATAATTACATTTAGAAGAAATGCAAGTTCCACATCCACTTTAACGGCAATAATCATATCAATCACCATATATCCACAGAGTGTTGCCCAAACCAACAAGCTTATCAGAACTAAATTCTTACACGAATGATGAAGTCGGTACCAAACAGGGTATTTGATCATTATGTATCTTTCCACGGAGATACAGACCATGAAGCCAATGTTAACAATTATGCTCAGGATATAAACATGAAATACAAAAAAAATGCCATTCTTTTGTTCATTCAATGTACAAAAATTCATAACAGGCTTGACACAAATCTGGATGATATCACAAACAAATAGATTTATGATGAATAAAGGGACAGCATGGTTAGATCTAAGCAGAGGGTTTACCCGACAATGAGCTGCTGCTGCTGGTTGATTATGGTTGAAAGTAACTGATGAAGAAACAACAGAGAGGGAGGAGCCGCTAACACTTAACCAGATCCATCCACCATGAGCTCTGCATTTTTATCACATCATCATGCAATCAGACTAATATTTGGCTAGCATTTCCTGAAACTTAATTATGCTCACAGTGATCGACAGAAATGAGTAATGATGAGTACTCAGTAAAGTGGTTAAATGCAATATATTGTTTCCTGTGTGGTCTTTGATACTTGACACAAATGAAACTTTATACACATTGTGTTAAGGGGGATCGAAATTAACATAGCAGCTGCTGAATTGAAGGACTACACCTGATTTTCATGTAGCTTCTTACAACACAAAAATGTAAGCATGCTATGAGCATCCTTCCTTATGAAAACATACAGCAAAGAGTCAGCGAGTGGATTCAAATACATCATGATTCCTGACACTGAATGTAAAGAATCATAATAACTACTTATTCCATGCTTAAATGATACTGCAAAAATGATGTTTTGTACAATGCTTGGTAGGAACAACACAGTGTAATTGAAAAGTACAAGAGCCAGAATCATCAAAATCCTCTTTCTTTCATCAGGGGTGACTGCGACCGAATGAGACAGTGCCTTCCACGAACCCACAAAGCAAAACACAACCAGTGGATAAGGTAACAAAAGAATAATTACACTTAGAAGAAATGCAAGTTCCACATCCACTTTAACGGCAATAATCATATCAATCACCATATATCCACAGAGTGTTGCCCAAACCAACAAGCTTATCAGAACTAAATTCTTACACGAATGATGAAGTCGGTACCAAACAGGGTATTTGATCATTATGTATCTTTCCACGGAGATACAGACCATGAAGCCAATGTTAACAATTATGCTCAGGATATAAACATGAAATACAAAAAAAATGCCATTCTTTTGTTCATTCAATGTACAAAAATTCATAACAGGCTTGACACAAATCTGGATGATATCACAAACAAATAGATTTATGATGAATAAAGGGACAGCATGGTTAGATCTAAGCAGACAACACAAGCCATAGAGTGCCAGACACATGACAACAAACCCAATGGAGAAAATAACCCAGATAACCACCATTTCAGATGAAGATGCACAGATAGCTGCCTTCATAGATGTCCAATTGAATTTCTCCAGTAACAAAGCTAAAAAGTTTACTTCCAACTGGAATGTCACGTTGGTTGAGGTTTCAGGGTAGGCCATGTTCTGTGAACTGAGCTTAGGACGTTCAAACTGAAATAAAAACAAAGGTGATTTTGGTTCAAAATTCATGTAATTGGCTTTATTCATGTACATTACAATAACGGTGAACTTACAGTTTAGTAGAGATGTTGCTGCCAACCGCTGTTGAGAGACGCACAGATGCTTAATCTCTCTCTTTCTCTCTCTCTCTCTCTCATAACTGGTTGATTATGGCTATGATTATGATTAAATTAGTCTGTTATCAACGGCTCAAGCCTAAAAAATACAAAGTCTAAAATGACCTTTTGGAATTTGCAAGGTAGGCGTGGGATGAGATACATAGGAAATTAATCCTACACACAAGAGCGTTTTAAGGACAAAAAGCTGACGAATGTCTTGAAATACAACATTTGAACAATGTCTTGAGGTGTGGTAACCGACCGTAGTACTGTAAGCAGAATAATTGACTCCACTTCGCATCGTTGCCGCATCACCACCTCAGGTGCACATCAGTTAGGCATATGGCACTGCAGAATGCCCTGGAACAAGTGTACATGTACAGGGAGTGTTTTATCGGTAAGTTATTTTATTTTATTTGTTTTTATTTTATTTTTATTACCCCCAATTGTCAAAAAAGAATGAACAGATCAAATGTATTATTATCATATGCTTACTAAAACACATATACCTTTCATTGTATGTTGTGATTTAGATTTCTGTCTGTCCTGTCAGTTTTAGTGATACTCCTCAACCTGAAGCACAGGACACGAATTTGCTTTATTTCCATTAGAAAATAATCCACTAACAAGCAGTAGAAAATACTTGAAAATGTAAATATGTATGGCTCTCTTCAATAGCCTAATCAATTTAATTACTAATATGGCTTTAAAAATCAAACTCAGTGCTGATTGTAAAATGCAACATCTACTTGCCAAATTCTGGATTTTATGCATTTATTTATATAAAAATGTTTCTATAAAAAATCTGGTAATTATAAAATCTGTAGTGTTGTTTGTATACTATAATATAGTTAAGGTTAGATAATGTTCCAAACAACAAAGTCCAAAAAAAAATTAATAAGAGAAATTAACTAGATGCATGACTATGCAGACAAAAACAAAACAAAATATCTAAGAAATGAATAATGAGCTCACAGTTAAAAAGAACAAAGGAAGGGTTTTACCTGACACAGAGGCTGTTGGCTGCTATGGTTGGCAGTAACTGATGAAGAAACAACATTACAGAGAAAGGGAGGAGTTCTTAATGCTTAATTGCCTCCATCCTCCATTATGCATCTGCATTTAAGTTAATATGGGAGAGTACTAAGAGTAATAGTCAGCTAACTGTCCTGAAATGCAATTAAGATAACTCTGGATTACAAGAATGAATAATGGTGAGTGGCTGGTAAAATGGTTAACTTGGCTGTGTATGAAATTTAATATTTCATTACATAAATTACTTCTGTGACTTTACAGTTTAAGATAAAGAAACAAAAGATCTGTGTACATCGTAATAAAAAAGTATCATTATTACATGTGATTTTATAAAAAAATTGTTTTATTGAAAAAAAAAACCTGCAAAATATTTTACCACAAATACTACAGAACACACGTCATTTAGCAATTAAAACTCATGCAAAGGGTTCCTACTCATGGAAACATGGTCAGAGGCCAAACTGAACCGCTGAAGAACTGGCAAAGCCTCCAACACAGCATGTTTTACAGGTAATACAGAGCACTGAACTTTGTGTTTAGTAAAACAACTTTTCAGCACTTCTTCACTCATGACTTCATCCTCTGATAATTTAAACAGATTGTTTTGTTAAGCACAACGTCAATAAGCGATAGTTTCAGATCCAGAATCTCTCCATGGACTTGCTGGCTGGTTTATGTACAAATATATAACTCGTTTCAGGGTGATTACATGAATGTTGAATTACTATTGATCTTAGATCTCCTGCAAACCAATGAGTTAGGGGTGGAAGAATAATAAATCATAGGGAATCATGTATTTTTTGTATGTATTACTGGTGTGTGTTATTCATTCTTTACCTAGCAACAGCCTATAAAAATTCAGTTTTTCTGTATATTTTTAATTGAAAGAACTGCAAAGCAATCGATAAAAACAAATGTGCAATCTGCAAAAGCAGGACATATAGGAAAAGATCACTCCATACACTACTATTCAAAAGTTTGGGGTCAGTAAGATTTGTTTGATGTTTTTGAAACAAGTCTCTTATCCTCACCAAGGATGCATTTATTTGATCAAAAATACATAATTAAAAAAAAAAAAAAAGTAATACGGTGAAATATTACTACAATTTAAATATTACTACTGTTTTCTATTTCGAGTTTCTAAAATATAGTTTATTCATGTGATGGAAAAGCTGAATTTTTAGCTTTGCTGTCACAGATCAATTTCATAAATCCCAGCTAAAAGTATACTTTTTTATTATTTATTATTAAACCCTAAACTTTTGAATGGCAGTGCACATTCGTTTATGTGGGCATATTTTGGCTACATTACAGTGATTGAAAATTAGACATGGTAAAAAAGTAAAGTTTAAATGAAAGGTGCTTATCTTTGAAGAGCTGTTGAAATATATACTGATAAAAACTGTCTGTAAGAAAACCTGAAAAAATCCACTTTCCTCTTATCAATCATGACAATCAGATCAGCTCAAGCCCTTTTAATGGTACGCACATGACGTGAGTTAATAAATCCCAGCACTGAATGACTATTTATGTATAAAATGAATAAAGCAACAAGTAGCCAAACCATCAGGACTGTTTAGCTCAGTCGGAGATTCCAACCAAATTAATCCTGTGCCAGACATATTAGAGTGTGTTTATTTTATTTTTGGCCTTTATGACACTTGTATTTATATGGATAGTAGAGAGAGTACAGGGAGCGATGGCAAAACAATTAGGGCCCCGCTGGAAATGCTTAACCAGCAGAACTGTCTTGGTTAACCAGCTTTACCATGCTGGGGTGGTTCGTTCCATTAAACTTGCGACCATAGTTGCTTTTGGGAAACGCACCCCTGGTTGATCAGATTGATCAAGCTACAATGAGCAACCCAGCTCATTATGCACATGTGCACTAACTGCTCCAACATATAGAGTCTTAAATTGAGAGTTACAGCATGAGAAACACAGATTGAACACATGATGCAGCCACATAATACAAATGTCTGCTGAGAAATAAAAGCAATAATGATATCCTTAATTTCATGGAAATTACTGGAAATAGTTGACAAGCAAAAGCAGAAACATGTCTCGTGTGAGGCCTACCACCTTATTTAAGATGTTTTTCTCCTCTTTTACTGTGCTAGCATAAACCCTTTTACATACAGATTTGCTGAGCTGCTAAAGGAAATGTACTACTATACACTGCAATTTGTCTTGTGCTTTGTTGGTAAACTTCAATAAATAAATAAATAAATAATTCCTTAGACCATCTCAGCTGGGTATAATCATAACCGTGACCCTCATGACACCTTCCAGATAAAATGGTGAATCAGCCTCTCTGAAAAGATCAACAAGAGCACAAAGCACATGAGCGAGTCTAACCCTCACCTCTGTCCAAATGGCTTTCTTCATTAAATGACACAGAGACTGGACAGACAGTTTTGTACATCAGAACTGTCCATTTAAGGAGAAACAAACACACAACCATACGAAATGCCACTTTCAGAAAGTGCTCCTGGTTCCACAAACGAAGTTCCTCTGGGCTTGGGAAGTCTTACAGACATGCCAATCAAATTATGATTAAAGAATCTGATCAAAGCACGCATTGGATTACTCATACTGAAGAGCAGAATGGTTTAAGATGAAACTCTGGCGGACCTTCCTCCGGGCCGCTGTGGTTTGTTGGACACCCTGTTGTGTTGGGACTTCTACAGGAGTCTAAAAACCCCTCTGTAGCTAAACTGTTTACCTTGGGGGACATGCATAGGGTTGAAGAGCGTGCATGAGATTCGAGTTAGAGTAAGAGAAACTATTGAGAAGAACCTACAGTACAGTCTCTACTTCCACAGACACCCAGCAAGAGTGACCATATTGCACTGGGAAGGCGACTGAGCCAGTTCCAACATATCTCATGTCTGTTTTAAGGGTCTGTGAGCCCTGCTCCAATTGAAGCACTTTAAGCTTCACAGTGCATTCCCTCATTCCACAGAAAGTGCCCTCAGGGTCGCTGGCAGGCTCAGGGGGAACTGAGGCAGCATGGATCTTCCCTTGCTGAAGAAGAGCTGATGGAAAAACTCAGGGCAGAGTGCAGTGTGGAGGGAGGTCAAGAGGTGGAAACTGGAAGGTTTCATCGCTGCTAAAAGCCACTCACTCGCTGGGGTACGTGGGGTAGTGCGTTGGGGGTTGGGGGCAGCCGTGGCCCACAGGAAGGGTTGAGTGTCGTTCTGGAGGAAGGCGTTTAGAGAAGAGGTCAGTGTCCACTCCTGGTTGAGTATCACCATAGATGTCACCTGAATGAGGATGAGAGGTGTTAAAGGTATAGTTCACCCAAAAATGAAAATTCTGTCATTAATTACTCACCCTCATGTCGTTTCAAACCCGTAAGACCGTCGTTCATCTTTGGAACACAAATTAAGATATTTTTGATGGAATCTGAGAGCTGTCTGACCCTGCATAGACAGCAATGCAACTGAAATGTTCCCAGGCCCAGAAATGTAGCAAGGAGATCTGTAAAATAATCCATGTGACATCGGGGGTTCAACCGTAATTATACGAAGCAACGAGAATATTTTTTGTGCGCAAAAGAAAAAAAACTAACGACTTTCGTTATTAATTTGTCTCCTCCGCATCACCCTGGTGCCATTTTAGAGAATATCCGCTGGACGTAAACAGCATATGCTGTTCTGTGTCAGCTGCGTCACGCCGGATCTGTTTCCTACATTGTTGTGATTCGATCTGAACGGAAACAGCGTAGCCGCGTGGCGCAGCTGACACAGAACAGCATACGGTGTTTACGTCCAGCGGATACTCTCCAAAATGGCGCTACAGGGTGATGCGGAGGAGACGAATTGTCGAATAAAGTCGTTTTTTTTAATTTTGCGCACAAAAAGTATTCTCGTAGCTTCGTATAAATTGCGGATGAACCCCTGATGTCACATGAATTATTTTACAAGTCTCCTTGCTACGTTTCTGGACTTGGGAACATTTCAGTTGCGTTGCTGTCTATGCAGGGTCAGACAGCTCTCAGATTCCATCAAAAATATCTTAATTTGTGTTCCGAAGATGAACGAAGGTCTTACGGGTTTGAAACGACATGAGGGTGATTAATTAATGACAGAATTTTCATTTTTGGGTGAACTATCCCTTTAATCTTATTTATTTGA